GCAGCGTCTATGATAAGGGGGTAGAGGAGGGTAAAGTGCTCTTACTGGGTTTTTTGTGTTCATGTAACTTAATGCTGGGGGAAGTTAGTCGCTCAGTGTGCACTTTTTTTTGAGCTCATTCTTAGGTAGCTAGAATCGTACTACTGGGGGCTTTTTTTTAATCAGTCAAGGTTCGAAATATTGTGGCCTAGCCGAGCCGAGTTTTAGCAGTTGCACTTTTGCGTATGCATTAGTCCGAACATCTGCTGATTCCTATTGTTGCATGTGAGCCATGGTTATGTACCCTTTCTTGAATCGCCAAGTGATGCCGGCTTGGTTTTAGCTTAGGGAGAAGTGGTCTTGTCCCAGTTGTAAAGGAAATGCCGAAAATTTGGTGAGGGAGCAGAGTAGAAAGGTCGCCTTAAGCGGTTGGAAGTGGCATGGTTGTTAAAAAGAAACAGGTTTACGGATTTCAGACGTTAACATTCAGCATGCAGTTGCTAATCAGACGACTGACGTGAGATTTGGGGGTGTTTGCTCGTTCGCATAATCCATGTTTGCGTCTGTTTCAGATGTTGCAGAGGTTGGGTGAGCGTGGTGCGCGTGCGCCGGAATGAATGAATGAATGAGTGAGGGAGATGAGTGCTGCGGTGGTGGATGAGGAATTGGACGAGGACGTGATCTGCTTGTCCTCCAGCGACTCCGCATCGCCCGAGTGCCACACGAAGCGCCAACTTCAGCAGATTCCCCATCAGCAGAAGGTATCGCCGGGCTGCTGCTCCTCGTCGACGGCACCGATGGTGTACCGGAGCCACAAGCACTCGCGTGTTACGCTGGAGCAGATGAACGAGATGCGCGCCGACGGTGCACTCTGCGACGTGACGCTGGTGGTGGGCGAGGTGCGCATCAACGCGCACCGCCTGCTGCTCGCCTCCTGCTCCAGCTACTTCCGCGCTATGTTCACTTCCGAAATGGCCGAAAGCCGACAACGTGAGTGCCCTCACCAACCTGCACCTTTTGGCCCATTCAGTATAACCTCATTGCCCCTGGGCCCATTCCTGGAAAACATGCAGTCTTTATAGATCACATCCAACATACATTTACCACTGCAACCATTAGCATTGCCTGCTTCTTCACATTATTAGTAATGGTAAGGTAGAAATAAGAATAGACATCACTGCAGCAATAATAATAATAATATTAACAGCAATAATTATAGTTAGTAATGATAATAGCAAATAATCATAACAACAGTAATGATAATAGTAACAGTAATATTAATGATAATGATATAATGATAATATTAAAAATAATGGTAACAATAATAGAAGTAATAATGATATTATCGACAGTAATAATAATGATGGTTATGATAACTACTAATAATAGGAATAATAACAGTAATAATATAACATATAATATAAATATTGCATGAAGCGTATGTTGGGAAAAAGTGGATAGCATATGCAGCATATAAAGTAAGTGCCCAGAAATTCGAGAATTTTTGTATTAAAATGTTGAGGTGGTCACTTCGCTGCCGTATGTAAGCATATTAGCTTCGGTGAGATGAAGGCGAACCAGAGTCGAGCTGCTAGAAGATATTCAAAGGAGGAGGTTAAACATCCTCGAAATGGGCAGTTTACTCTAAAATGCCTGTAATGGTTATGTGATCAAGTACATTTTGTCGGGGACTGCCATTTCCGAAGGCATAGATGCCAAGATTGTAAAAAATTGGGCCATAAAGAGGATTTCTACTTGGTGGCAAGCAAAAATTCAAGTCGATATAACACTAAGAAGAAGAGGTTTGTGGAAACACATGTTAAATTGTAAAGGTCGCTTTTTTTTTTATTTTTTGAAAATAGTATTTTAAAAGAAGTCAAGAAACAATATGTCAGTAGTTGATATCGAATTGGGTCTCGGTTTTTGTGCATGAATGTATTGGTGAGTTTTGCAGAAGAGGTACAGATGGTGGACATCGAGCCGCACACCCTCCAGACACTCATCGAATTCTGCTACACCGGCGAAATTGTGATCGCCGAGTTCAACGTGCAGTCCATCCTGCCAGCTGCTTGCTTGCTTCAGCTCAGCGAAATACAGGTTTGCTGCCGTAATTTGTTGCGATAAGTCTGTCCGTGTTCTGATTGTGAGGCAAGAAAGTTGGGCTGAATAAATACCGGAGCAATTCGTGAATCCCGCGATGAGTACATGCGTTGTTTTTTTGTAGGATGTATGCTGTGAGTTCCTGAAGAAACAGCTCGATCCGACCAATTGCTTGGGAATACGGGCATTTGCTGATACTCATGCCTGTCGCGATTTGATGAGGATTGCTGACAAATTCACGCATCAAAATTTCCAAGTATTTCCTCTCTCTTTGTACTTTCTCCAGTCAAAATTTACCGCATATTCTGATAATGGCTTTGAAATTTGTGCAGCCCGGAAGGTTTTTCAGGAAGTTTCAAGAAATGAAGAATTTATATTACTGCCACTGAATCAGCTAATAGATCTTATATCGAGTGAAGAGCTGAATGTTCATTCCGAAGAAACTGTTTTCCGAGCCGTAATGGCCTGGATTCGTCACGATCTACCGAATCGTCGTTCACTGCTGCCTAAGGCACCACTTTTTTCCCCTCTCAGTAGCAGACCTCACGCGGCGTGTACACATATAATTGAACATTTTTGAGGTGCTGGAACACGTTCGATTGCCGCTCTGTCCTGCCAAGTTTTTGGTGAGCGTGGTCAGTGAAGATCCATTGGTGAAGACGGATGCGCAGTGCCGCGATTTGGTTGATGAAGCGAAGAATTATCTGCTGTTGCCCTTGGAGCGAGCGAACATGCAAGGTCCAAGGACGAGGTGAGTACGCGGAGGGCACGTTGTCCTACGTAGTACAGGTTTTTACAGTTCCAAATGTTTTTGTGTTCTGGAATACCTAGAATAGCTATTAATTCATAAGCCTCGGGGCTTTTTCTACTCATCCGGTAACTCTTTCATTGTTGATTATTTTACGTTTTTCACATCCATTCGAGTTAGCGGATCGGTCTAGCGTGCCGGTGCCCTTTGTGCTATTTTTTTAACACATATTTGGTACCATTTAGCTGTTCGTTTCGTCCATCTCTTATCTGTCATCTCCGCCACACATCGGGCTTCTTTTAATTCACATGCCTCTACTGTTTTTACACCTTAACATAGCTACATTTCGTTGATGACTGTGCAGTTTGATGTTACCTAATACACATTTTCTGGTTCATTAAAAGGTCAAAGATCAAGCCTTTTGATTGTGCTCAATTTTGTGGTTTTGTAGGAGTAGGAAACCAGTGCCTTACGGTGAAGTTTTATACGCAGTAGGAGGTTGGTGCAGCGGCGATGCGATAGCTTCAGTGGAGCGCATGAATAGTCGGACTGGCGAGTGGCACTGCGTCACACCGATGAGCAAACGACGGTGCGGCGTTGGAGTGGCTGTGTTGGATAATTTGCTGTATGCTGTCGGAGGACACGATGGGCAAAGTTACCTGAATTCTGTTGAAAGGTGGGTAGTTATTTTTATCGATTGTGCTGACCGAAATTACATCATCGAAGAGTTAGACTGCTGATGATCTTGACACTCATTTCCTTGTTTTTTTGTTTTTCTTGAAAAATATGCTAGATATGCTATTCATCGGGCTGTTTTTGCGATCTTCTGATAAGCATTCTAGCATTACTTATTCTTTTGCATAGTGATTATCATTTGTAGAAGTAAATATACCAGGTTTCAATGGCGCAGAGTTAGCCAGGTCACTGCACATACAGGCTTGCTTATTTGGGAGATCTAAATGGCACTCCCAGTGTTTTTATTAATTATCAAAATTCGACTATGTTCCTCTTTCCACGGTGGGCCAGCAACGCCAAACAAACTGCATATGTTGACACACAGATTTCAGGCCCAATCTCCTAGCCAGGAATATTCACTATTTGTGTCTTTAAAATTTCAGAAACACTTAGCCAATCATTAAATTCCGGTGGTAGTGAGATCTAGGACAACACTGGTGAGTGGAGGATATCAACTTGTTATTTGTGGAAAGAAATACCATTCTGATCCCCGAAGTGATATTTACATGGCGCATATGGCAAAGATTAAATTGAAAATGTAATGCATAGGATCGAAAGGCTTCGCATAGTTGCGCTCTGTATTTGGTGCTAACACCAACTGTCTAGACATTATTAGAAATGAAATTTTAAATTGTTTTATAATAATATCCAATGAATAATGTTCTTATCGTGTATTTTGCTGCTTTTCCATCAGCCGAACATCAGCTGAGATCACATTTTATGCGCAGTATCAGCGTGACGGGAGGCCTTACAGCTGAAACTTCCTCGTATGGACAACACTGTGTGAGAAAATACCGATGTTTTTGTTGTTTGTTTAGGTACGATCCGGCGATACATCAGTGGAGCAGTGATGTAGCTCCGACATCCACATGCAGAACGTCGGTCGGTGTGGCAATGCTGGGTGGCCTACTGTATGCGGTTGGTGGTCAGGATGGAGTTTCTTGTTTAAACTTTGTCGAAAGGTTCATTTTTTGCATTTAGAGAGTATTCATCAACTTGCTGTGAATTTAATTTCAAGCTTCGTATAGTTCATGGCATTCCTCAGTCTTCGTTTGCTGCCCATCCTTCACTCATTCTCCTAACCAGGCTATATAATTGCTGGGAGGTCGTATCACGTTTTTGGCGAATCGTAATTCATAGTTTTAAAGTTAGCAGTGACTTAACAAGCCAAGAATCGTTGCTTGAGGGGTGTCAACAAGTTGCAGTGCATCTTCGATGAAATACTGCTGTTTCGAACTGTTGCGAACATTACTTTTAGACATTTTTCGCTAGGAAGAACGGCTGAGCTAGCCATGTAACAGGAATATTAAACTAGAAATTGATAAAACGGACCATTGGATGATAGCTATGCAGCAATTAAAGAATGCAGAGAATGCCAGTGGTGCGGTGGACTAATCCTAGCGGACACCTTTGTGGATCCTCAGTCTTCGTTTGCTACCCATCCTTCGCTCATTTTCCTTATCAGGCTATACAATTGCTGAGAGGTCGTATCACGTTTTTAGCGAATCGTAATATACAGTTTTAAAGTTAGCAGTGTCCTAACAAGCCAAGAATCGCTGCTTGAGGGGTGTCAACAAGTTGCAGTGCATCTTCGATGAAATACTGCTGTTTCGAAGTGCTGTGAACATTACTTTTAGACATTTTCCGCTAGGAAGAACAGCTGAGTTAGCCATGCAACAGGAATATTAAACTAGAAATTGATAAAACGGACCATTGGGTGATAGCTATGCAGTAATTAAAGAATGCAGAGAATGCCACTGGTGCGGTGGATTACTCCTAACGGACACCTTTGTGGAATTATATCGGAAGGCTTTTACGGGATTATTTCTTATAGCCCTACGGGATTAGAGATTAGAAAGGCCCAAAGCAGAACGGTATAAGCTGCCAGCTGCACCAGAAGCATGAAAAAGCATAACAAGGAAGGAATAATTTATCAAAATACTGCCAAAAAAAACGTCAGCGTTGTGAACACTGTTACGATCCATATCTCTCAGCTTGAAAAGTCATAGATAATTTGGCGCCTAATTGACTAATTTTATTTGGGAAAGGATTTTTCCACTCTCTGCATTTGCAGATATGATGCGCATCGAAATGAATGGTCTAAAGTGGCTCCGATGAGCACCCGCAGACTAGGAGTATCGGTTTCGGTGCTGAACGGTTGTTTGTACGCTGTTGGTGGTTCGGATGGACAAAACCCACTGAACACCGTCGAACGGTGCGTTTTTTTTTTTTTTTT